ATCAAAGATGCCAGGTGCTACATCAAGCATGGAGTTCTGCCATTTGCAGCTAGTGTCTGGCTCCAGATGGCAAAAAAGGAGTCAGATCACAATAGAGTCTCTGGCCCAGAATAAGTAAAACTTGTGTATAACAAAAGTTTACAGAGAACCAGCAAAGCTGTTGTCATTACAGTGTTTGTACACCTATTTTTCTTTTCATTGTAGACCAGTCTGCTTAATGATAAATGAAATTCCTTTGATGTGTACATGGTTTTTACTTGTGTCAACCTTCAGGTGAGTCAGACACTATTAACTTCAATACAGTATGCTTCCTGCCTTGATTCTCGTACATCTTTCTAAGCATATTCTTTTTTCTCACCTTTTAATGTGTTACTTAAAATGTAAATTTGTTGGAATGTAGACTAATGCCCTTCTGTTTTAACAGCTTGCTGCCTCTTCTGTTGAAGGATGGCCTGCTTCTTGCCTATGTGGTGACAACACTGGCGTTTCTGACAGTATGTGCGACTTCTTTTTCAATATTTGAAAAGACTTCAGAAGAGGACCTGCAGCTGAAGTCACTCTCCCTGTCTATTAGGGGATACATTCCTTCATTTAAGGCATTCCCAAAGATTATTAAGAGTCTGGTAAGAAACTTTTAACTGTTCATAATATGTTGTTTTTAAAAATCATGATAAACCAGCTTTATGCCCACAATTATGTACATTTTTGTGGCTATAGGATTTATATACTGTTTACAGAATATACTCGTTTGCACATTTGTTCTTAATAGAAGTTTCATGTGAACAACGTCATGTGTTGAAAACACACAAGAGACCCATCTGTCTTCTTCTAAGCTGTCTCCATATATGTAATACTTTCCCAATCCCTCCTCCCCCCAAATCTCCTCATTCAAATCCCTCCTAAAAGCCCAGAATAAGTAAGTTAGGAAGAAAGGGGAGAGAGAGAAATCCCAGCTAGAGCCTTCCTCTCCTCTTTTAATGAGAGTATTGTTGGACCTTTTAGTTTCAAGCCTTGGGGGCTGGGACTGTCTTCACACTTCCCTTATACAGTTGCATACACTACCAGTGCTTAATAGTAATGAGATCACCCTTACTTTGCAGCAACATGTCAGAAGATCCCGTTCCAAAATACTCCTTAATGTATTGAATATATAGTAGGAAACTGTCTAATCTCCGGGTGGTTTTTTTTTTGAGGTGATTAGCTTGACTGTATTTATATCAGCTTAGAGAATGGCACACAAGTTGTTAGTATAGATCAGTGGTTCCCAAACTGGGGTTCATGAACCCCTGGGGGTTCACAAAATGTTACAGGGGGTTCTCAGGAAAAAATTCCCTAATGGCGGACAGAGCTGTCCCTAGGGACCCCGGGCAGCACGGGGCCAGAAGCACGGAGCCCCATCACACTTCAAGACTCCTTATAAGAAATGGAAAGGGAGGTGAATATTTTTTGCTGTTTTTTAAAAATGAAATAGGCAGCTAGTATTGTTTTTAAAATTATGAAGAAGAAGTTTAAGCTTTGTTGTAATGTGTGTTGTTTGCCTGGGCTGCTCAAGACCTGAATGCTTGTGTATGAGGAACTCTGAGTTGGCTTCTTAAATCCCTTCCTGCTGTTTCATATCTGATACTCCTTGATGAAACATAGGAGCCTTGTCTTATAACAGGCTTATTCAAAGTGATACAAGCTACCAAAGTGAGATCTTGGAAGAGTGTTGCCGTTTTCATAATGTAATAAAAATACTGTAATGATAAATAATAAGTGTGTAATAAGCATGTCAAAAACAAATTTTATATTTCCAAGATCACTGCTTTTATAATTTATACTCAGGTAAAGGAGAAAATCCCTAGAAATATTCATTTTTAGGAGGGGGTTCGTGAGACTTGACATTTTAGTGAAAGGGGTTCACAGGTTGTTAAAGTTTGGGAACCACTGGTATAGATGCACACTGTATTTTCGAAGAGGTCATCTATATAGAGGATGAAGAACTCAAAGCACCTAAGCAATGAAAGTAACTTATTCATTTGACACTGTAAATCAATGGTAACTAATGTATCATTCTTTATCTTACAGTTTATTGTCTCAGTAACTCTGATGGGCATCCTCACTTTAATGAGTGCCACACTGACTCCTCCACAGAAGCTACCAGATTTATTTCCTGTATCTGTGTCTGTTGTTTCCTGCTTACACTTCTTATTCTTCTTGATGTATTTTAATGCTATTGTACTGTGGGACTCAAGAAATGGTAGAAATCAGAAGAAAATCAATTAGTTAAATTCTAACCTGTGAAAACTCAAGACTAAACTGGAAAGAGAATATTTTCAGTGAAAATATCAGTTACAATAGGCAGCTTTAAATCACTGTCTTATTTAGTATATTTCCCATGATCTAATGAAAACTAGGAAACAAATTTTTACATTTAAACACAAAGAATGATTTTTATTTTAAGGAGGAAGAGTAGCTATTACCAAACAGTGTTTGAAATTTAACTCAACTTGTTATATTCTCAAGAACGTTAATACTTCTGATATGGTTTTCCAATATGAAAAGGCTATTTGTAAACTGTAAATGATTAAATACAGGAAGTCTTGACCCTTAACTAGCAGTGCCAGTTTAATTTAGCAAAGCCACAAATATAATTTGCTACTGTCAAGTCATACATTTCCCAGCATGAAATTTGGAAGAGATACAAATATGGGTTAAACAATAACTCTTGGCTGTTGCTTCTAAGTGGTACCTCTTGCTGGCCTCTTTTGATTACATAAATTAAACTGCCTTGCACACTATTTCACTGCCATGATGCTTTCATATGATGTGCTTAAAATCATCAAGGCCACTGCACTGATATCCATGACTCACTATCATAGCTCATGGTAACATGACCATCTTACTCTGGCAATAACCCCTTTACCAGCTGAAGTCCATTTTTATTCTAACAAGAGTTTCAGGGTGCTGTGGTTGCTGCTATTGTTTTTCCTACATATCTTTTTTCATATGGGTAATATAACTTACAAACTACACATCTCTGTAGATAATTGTCAATTTTTAAATTAAAATCTGGTTAAACTGCATTTTCTTCTCTAGAATGTTCAGAGTATTCTGTAGGCCAAAGTCCTGTTTCATCAGCCATAAGCGGAACTGTAGGTTTTTGCTGAAATGAATATTAAAATGACTAATGGGCATAGTAGTCCTTGCATTATTTATGCTGTCCCAACACTCTGGGTCACAGAACTTTGTACTGAAAAATGTAGAACTGCAATGTAGAAGTTGATGGTGGTGGGGGGAGAGAACTGGAGTTTTGGACAGCTGGCTATGGGAGAGTTGATGCTTCTTGCACATGGGAGAGACTGTATCTCTCTACCTCTCCCTTATGGACTGGGCAGATGTGACTTCTTGTTCCTAGTAGTAGCTACCTCACTTACTTCCCTATGAATAGTCAGAACTGCATCAAGTAATACTGGATAATCACATTTACAGAAAATGTATTACGTTTAACAGCGAAAGCTAACTTTGATATGTATTCTGTTAATATTAGGCTTCAGATTTAATACCCTACTGAGATGAACTGAGCCAGTCTATACTTCTCAGTTATTGTTACAGACTGTCAGCAGATGCAGGAAGACAACACTACCTAAGTTTACACCGTTCACCTTTAGCTGAGTTCCTGTTCAAGTGATTAATGCTTCTAGGATTTTATTGCATTAATGTTGTGTTAAGGCACCAAGAGCCTTGGGTAAGTGTCTTTTAAATTAGTATTTAAAAAATAAAAAGGTTTCATATAACCACAGTAACTTAATTTTACTAAAATGGAAGCTGAGCTACTCCAGCCTACTTCTGAAACAAGGAGCGAGTGGATTCTGCTGCAAATTGATGTGGAATAACTTCCAGACTGAGATACTTGTTTGTTATCTTTCTTATCTGAATGGCACTCTGCACAGTATATTAGCAGCTCAGAGAATACAAACTAATTAATGTAATTATACAACACAAAAGCAGAAATCATAAGAACCAGTATAAAAGGGCTGAATGGGGGAAAGAGAGCCCTTGAGCTGGTATCATTGGAGATAGGTACAGCCTAGAAGCTGAAATCAGACTAGGCACACATGAAAGGATGTACCATCCTTGTTTAAGGGCATTCCCATATTAACCTGATTACTCTGAGCAAAATACCAAAGTGTCATTGACATTAAAATATTCTAGAGCTGTCTCTGGTGTGTAGCGTAAGACATGAATGTATGTAGCAGGTGTTCTATGAACTTACTTCCCCATGTATGAATTATGAGGTCACTTAAAAGAAGTTTCTATCCACTGAGTTTACATTTCTTTAATTAAAAGAGGCAGTGTACTTCTTGGTGAAACAACTTGTCTTAATCTTGTCAACAAGTAATTACCAACACTTCTAGAAGGCAGCTTTATTTTGTACGAGGTATAACATTCCACTTAACATATAAGGCATTACTGAACTGCAGTTATATATGTAGACAGACAGCACTTGACCTAGTGTATGACAGTTTATTCCAAGCTGTAACTGTAACCTTTCCATAAACATTTAACATTCTTCTGAGAGGGTGTTACCATGATAATTATCCATGTGTAAGACATGCAAAATTTCCATCCACAATAAAATCTTTTCTTTCTTTTAAAAAGGAGTGGGTAGTTACATGTATCAGCCATAGAAAGAGTCCACAGTGATTGAGAAATAACTCCTACAGAATTTTGCGCAAATAAACTTAGTGAAACACTGCCAAAAGTTAAAGCAATGTGGTGAACCTCTATTTTCAATTAAAGAATGTGTAAAACATCCAACTAAGATGGAAGAAAGTGGAATAGTTTCACATTTCAGTTAGTCTCGTCTGTCTTGTATTCATCACAAGATTAGGGCCAAGTGTTCCCCACCATATAAAAACATTAGTTTTGTGTGTATCTCTTTTCTTTGTCCTTCAGATGGCCTCCAAGGGTGATAAAGCGAGAGTCATCTGATCTACCTTGTGTAGAACTGGGAAATGGTTCTTAGCAGACCCAGCTGTTTCTGAAAGGCAAAAGCTAAGTATACCAAGAGGTCAAAGAAACAGTAACGGCTTTAACAGCATTAAGGTACACATAGTTAAGAGTAATATCTGGAGCTAGATCTTTTTCCCCATTCAGCCCTACATTTTCTGTTTTCCTTAATAAAACAAATTGCTAAGCTTGGTTATTCTGACATTATGGGGTCAAGGTAAAAATAATTTACTAACTTGACATTAGTTGCTGACTGTCCCTTGTCTAACTTAAGACATTCTGCGTTCTCCTTGCACACCAAATGCCTTTTTGGATCAGGTTGCATATCTATTAAAAAGGGATGTTTCTGCTATTTCAAAAATATCTACATTTACAGAGTGGTTGTAGAGTATACAAAGCTGGCAACATCTCTGCACCACTCATCATTTTAGCTTTGTCTAACTCAAAACTTCAATTGTAAAATGCTAGTCGCCTCCTGGTTTGAGAAGCACTACTCTACAATGGTGGCAAAAAATAATATTCAGACTCCTGCACCTTTTTTGTACATCTCCTGTACTTCTTACCCAACACACAAGAGAGGCCACAGCTGCCTTTACAAATTTGGCAACTCTGCCTAAAGGTGGAGAGTTTTCAGGGTAATCAGAAATATGCAAAGGATGGCGGAAACAATAGCAAACCCATTTTTACACCAACTCTTCCCTTATATTACTAAGTACGTACACTAGACTAAAGTAAGCACTTAATCATTCTCTAAGTACATGCATGTAAACAGTGAGGGCCTGCCTTGGATACCTTTTCTAATGTTCAGTTATGCCTTACTCCACAAACATTCTCATTTAAGTCAATAGCATCCACTTGTGCAGTATAAATATGGCCCTGGGTTAGGGAACCTAATAGTCTGCTACCTATCTGAAAACAAATTGGACTTGTTGAGTATTCAGAATTAACTCCTACCATAATATAATTTCCCAGGTTATTTGATCACAATCAACCAAAAAAAAAAAATTTTTTTTTGCAAACACCCAGTTTGGAGTATGTCAGCATTTGCTGCAAATGTCATGGAACTGCTGCAACTTATCTTATATAGCATCTCAACTTTTGGGTGGGCTGATGAACAGCATAAACAAAGCCCTACAAATTGTCACGCAGTCATTGCTGCTCATGATAAAACTGGCACCCATTCCTAGAGATGGAGCATATCATTACTGTGAAATTTTCAGTCTCTCTGAAGGCCTGGGAATCAGTATTCATCCTTAAACATTCAGCTTCTTCCTGCTCAATGCTAAAAACATATTATAGCCTTTACACCAAGGCAGCACAACTACTGTTTGTAATAACTGCACGTAGCAAAAGAAGTTTATACTCTGTACAGCTGTAAATCTAGATCAGCTTGTAGTACATAAACATGCATAAAAGAGCCATGAAGAAATGAATTATTTACATTGAGATTATCTGGTTGTGCACATTGTAAAGTTTAAATTAGATACCAGAAATTTTATCTAGATATGCACCTGCCTTGTGCAATGAGCAATCCTTAATTGGTATTTGCTGGGGAGATAGATTTACAGGCATTTCTTCTCTCCTTTTAAGTACAATAAAGCAGATGTAGAACTTTGTGTTGATACGGAATGCATTTTTCACATAGTGCCTGTGGGGTTAAAAGAATGACTGAAATAAGACTTAATTAGACAACTTTACCATATGCCTACTCTGTTCACAATAACGTATCTGCCTATCCCTAACTTCATTATGTAAAAACACATAATACAACAGAAAATGAACAATTCTGTGTTTCTCTTACATTGGGGTAAAATGTTTTTGATGTTAGAAGATAAAAGGGTGTTTTTTATTCATAATTAATTCTCCTGGTACTGTTGAAAATCAAAGTGGACAATCTAATACTGCCAACAGCAGAAAGCTTTTTCACCATCACTAGATTTACTATTTGCCTTTTTGTAGTAAGAAAATGAATGAATTGTATGTTTGTCACTTACACAAGAACACAATAAAAGCAGGAAAAGGTAAATATGCCTTTACTAGGCACAATTGACAGAGGTTGATATCACTGACTACCTATTAGAAAGATTGAACAGTGAAGACATGATTAAAAGTGTACACTCTAGATTTGTGGCATTTTATTTTTTTAAATATACACATTCTGTGAATATCTGTGAGCCAACTCCCCCTTCTTCATACTATATTATGACTATTCAGAATAACCTGACTTTCTAAAGAGGGGTATATGCTCATACCTTCCATCAATCTCCATTAATCTGCAGATAAGTCTCTATATCTAAAGATGAAAATTTGTCTGAAAAGAATCTGTGAAACATGACACCCTGAGCAGACAGTTTTCTTATGCATAAGTGGTGTTTTGCTGATTGACAGGGTCAGTCTCTAGTTGGGGTTTTGCTTATGTCACTGGAACAGGGAGAAGCATCCAATGGAATAACAGAAATTGAGCACCCACAAAGCTTGCCTTGTGGCTTCTGTTAGCTCACCAGTGTGAATGGCACAAAACAGAGTATAAAACAATAGGTGAGCAGCTGGGAGATGTGCCATATCTGGCTTACATGAAATTAGAGAAAGAAAGGAACTTTGTTAAAAGGAAATTTTATCCAGAAAGTACAAACAGTAAATCATTAGCACACTGTCCACAAAAAAGAGAATTCAAAAATAGGCTAGCAGCAAACACAGGGCATTGCTAATACACGTGAGGGAGGGGCATAGGAAAGTGGCAATATTAAGTGGAAATGGTTCCCTACACAAACCCTCCTATTGCCCCTTTGAGCCAAGGAGATGGCATTACTGCTCAAACAATGGACAGCAATGTCTCCCGAGCAGCATAGGCCTCAGGAATAGAATAGAATAGAATAGTAAATCTATTTGTCCAGGACAGGGGCAGGCAGTCCTCTTTGAAGCAGCTCATTAGGAGAGTCACCGATAATATCTAAGAAGGTATAACCTGTTCTGGCACTCAAATTCTCTTATTCCTTTGGTCACATGTGCCTATTCAAGTGTGAAATATTTGAAAAACCGTCTAGTTATCACCTGACCTTGGTGACTTGGAGAAATCCTCCTGTAATAGTCTTCACTATGATAGCTTTCTATAGGTTCAACAGGAACCAATTTGCACAGCAAATCAGCAGAAATTTTAAGTAGATTTGTTTTTTATTATTGAGGTATTACATTCATGAGCAGCAATTGTCTTCAGATCAAAATAAGACAATTTGATCATGCACATTTGTACCTATGATCGTTTTGCAAATGTTTAAATAAATTCAGTCCTTATAATTACTGTTAATTGTAAACATTAGTTTGTGTAGTCAAACACTGAAGTGGGAAAGCTTGCTTACCTCAGTTAATGAGGGATTTAAGGAATTCATAGCTGTTACCAGATTGTACATATTCTGTGGATGAAACAAAACCAAATTTTCACAAACAGAATGATGGTGTTTTATTTGTAAAATAAAAATCTCAAAATCAACATGCTGCTAAAGTAAAATATTCCAGAGTTCATAATTTGTCAATATTGTAAACTGCAGCTTCTACAATGTATGTTTTGCTATTTACATTTTCATGATTCCATTACTTAACTCTGACCACTTAAAAATACATTGTTTTATATATATATATATATATACACACACACACACACACACAAGTAAAAGTTTGGATAAACACCAGGAAATGTAAAATTAAAAGCTACAGCAATTTAATGTGTATTCTATCAGGGCTTGAATGGAAATATTGACAGATAAAGAGAGACTAGAACTGCTCGTTTGTTTACATGCTTCTGCAATCTAGGATTAAATTGTTTGGGGTGGAATCTTAAATTAAATACAGATGCACAGACAATATTAAGCAAAGTCTTATAGCCTGTGGATGTTTTACATAAGGGGCACTGTGGGCAAGATTTCCTGTTCCCCTCCTTGTTGGAAGGGTGGAGTTACCAGTTTCTTGGGGATTCTCTTACTCTAAGGGAATCCCACAATAGGGTAGAACTAGCACAGGTGGCCTTATGGAAAGGGTACATCAGAGGCAGGGCTGGGGGCCTAAGGGTGGTCTGCACTGCTGCTGTATACTTGCAATCTGGAACTGCCACTTAGTGGTCTGTGGGTATGTCTGCATTGCTGCCAGCTCAGGTAGTCACACCCGCACTCACTGATGCATGCATGGTAGTTGCATGAATACTAGGTACAAATCCTGCCCTGCTTCTTCTGTGGTATGGCAGAAGTTCCCATGTGCCTTCCCCTCCCAATCCACAAGTATAGCAAAAGGGCAGGATCTTCGCAAGTTCTGTCTCCCGTTCCTCCCCCTGGCCCCACCGCTAAATTGGACTGCTCTGAAACATTTACACATCTAAAAAGGAGAGAGAAAAAATGTTCACCTGTCAGGTGCTATAAAACCAATCTTCTACTAAATGTGCCAGAATAATTTTTCTCCACCTCAACCACAGTTAAAACCTTCAGTCTATTCATTACTGTCTTTTTATAGTATTTTTATTTAATAAAACCTATTAAGACTACCATACAAATCTCTTTACTTATGCTTTTATCTTTTAACTGATCAATTTTTATATTGCTGACATCCCTTCTTCACCATTTGCTCATTTAAAAATTCATAGTATATGAGCTATGTCTCTGGAGAAAATGTCTATAAAATTTGTTACAGCTGGCAAATGTGTATGAGTCAGTGATAGCACATGACTAAATGCTTCACAGAAAATAAAATTTGTTTCTGTAGTAAGCAGAACTGTTTAAATGTTATTTATTTTTATGTTTCAAAGAAAATATATTGTGAAGTGCTGCATTGATTTAATACACAACAATGTCTGTGTACACGCTGTACAGGGAAAATTTATGAAACCTTTGCACAACTCCTTTAATTGAATTTTCCAAATCTCTCACCACACACAAATAATCAATATCTTCTGCAGAGAAAACCAGTCAGAATTATTACAGTCTTTCTTTTCAATTTTGTTGTCATCAGCACATATAGAGCACCTGGATATTTGTAATGTCTGGATAGCAAGTTATTTACACCTCTTAAACATAAGATTGCTACTAAGTGAGTTCAAACTGTTTCTTTATTTAAAATAATTATATTCCCAGGAGAATACAGATAGAGTATTTATAGTCATGGAGGAGTTGCTATACATATTCATGTTGTAATGAAGCAGTAGTTCTTTTTAATTTTTCATTAAGCTTCATACTCTAAAGCCTTGATCTGCCAGATTATTTTTTTTAATTGATTCTGAAAAAAGTAGATAGGAAAATAGGGAATAAACAAAGGTGTGAAAGTTCATGAATCAATGTGGTTGATGATACCCACACAGAGAAGATAAGCTGACAGTCCAGTATATACCTATGTCTGAAGTCTATAGCTGTGTGTATTGTGCATTTCTGTCTGCCAACAGTTAATAGCTTAATATTTCATCTGCATAGCATAGGATGTTAAATCACTGGAGAGGTTTGTAACTTACTCCCCAAAAAGCTCATGTCTCTGACCTCAGACTCACACACTTTCCAAATTACAAAATGTATTTTATATTTACACTCTAAGGTGCACATGCAACACAGTAAAACCAGAGCCTGCTGGGAAAGATTTATTAATTTATTTTTAACGATGAAGAGAGAAAAAACAGTACACTCCGAGTCAAAATAAATGGTCTACAATCTCTCTTACCCATCAGTGGTATTTCTCTAATGGACAAAGTTAGTCTCTCACTTCAACCAGGACAACCACTTGAACCTAACTCAAAATTTAATGGCATTGCAGAATTTGGGCACTGGTCAAGACACTTGATGGCCTTACAGGCTGGAAAAGGCAAAAAATTCCCCGTAAGTACAATTCCAAGATGGGAGGAGGAGGAGGAGGACACTTGGATGGAATGAGAAAAGAGCTCTATTCAAGCTTAGCCAAAGGAACAGCTTTTATCCAGACAGTGCAAGCTACAATGAAGCAAAAATCTCTGAACAGCATTAATGACTCAACTATGCAAACAAACAAACCAAAGGTTTCAGAGGAGCAGCCGTGTTAGTCTGTATCCGCAAAAAGAACAGGAGTACTTGTGGCACCTCAGAGACTAACAAATTTATTTGAGCATAAGCTTTCGTGGGCTACAAACAAAACAAAGCGGAAACTGATCTTTGTCTACTAAAGAAATCCCTTTTACAGTTTGCATGTTCTTAATTGTCTACTGTGTAAGTGGAGGATAACGTCCAACTAGTTTAGGTTTGTAAACACTCCCTAAATACAAGAGGGTGGGATTATTTCTTGAAAACAGAAGGTTGGACAACTCTTCCACAGGCTGTTTGTGCAGAAATATAAGGGTCAGATTCTCTGCTGCATCAAGGTGAAGGCAGTCAGGGGGCTGGTTTTGGCTCCTTAATTCTCAAACTGTTCAATGAAGGTCATAGTTAGCAGCTGAGTTCACGCTCTGAAACTGTCTTTCATTGAAGAGTGACCTGACAGTATTTAAAGACAAGCTTTAGATGAGACAGGGATCTGAGACAATTTAGCTTGACTGGTGGTGAAGGTGAGGTTTTAACTAAAGGTCTCTCTCCAACCCAAGAGGCGTTTTAGGTTTAACAAAAATTCTCCAGCCACATTTTTAGCCTCCACAAAGGTGATGGCCAACACCTGGTATGGCCAATACATCTGGGAAGACAACAGCATGTCTCCTGATGTAAATCTTGTTTGGGTATAATTGCTGCCTACTTGAGTACCTTGGGTTGCTAGAGGCAACTTCTTGCTGGCTGCTGTTGAGGCAGTGAGTTTGAGCAACAGTAGTCTAGTAGCAACTGATGGTTGAGAGCATGATGTTTGAGAATTTTTCCATGAGTGACTGAAAGACCCAGTTGGAGCAGGGTGCACTGCTTGCATGGAGGAGCAGTTATTTTCTTCTTCTCAGCCTCCTCTGGTATATCAGGTATAACTAACCAGAGCCAAGAAAACTGCACCATCCATCATGTGAGGCATAGCAAGACTGTGGAGAATAACAAGAATCTTGAAACCCCCTAGACTGATGTCTCATACAGCTGTAACTGCCTGTTCCCATGTGATTGAGTGAAAACGCATCTGGTTAAAGACTGGCTTGTTCACCTGAAAACCAACATAGTTAAAGAGTGTGTACAAGGAGAGGCAGAAATTGGTTCCATTGCCCTGTACAAAAAGAGGTAGGAAGAAAAACTTCCTTACTGGTGCTGAGGAAGAGTAATTGCAATACAAATACCAAATTTACCCAACTTTTTGCAAAGATGAGTATCTGGAAAATGGGCTCATTTTCCTATTTTAATATAGCCTATAACTTAAGGCTCTGAATATAGTTTTTCTTAATTCTGTAAATATATGATCTTCTGAGAATCTTTAGCCAGAAGACTCTCTATTGCGCCTTGCAGAACACAACAGATTCATTCATGGGCATGGTTCATGCTCACTTTAGTGCTACATTGTTTTTCTTTACAGGAAATGTAGAGAAACTATTAATATTTTGTAACTGCCAGCTGAAGCTGCTTCACTGTTTAGAATTTTATCATCGTCAATCCTCTAAATGCTCAAACTGTTAAGCGTTCTTTAAAATATGCATAGTGCAACCTATATATTTATTCTCAACACACACAAAGCATGTTTTGGACTGCAGCAAACTGACTAGATTTCATCTCTTGGCAGCTGCTCTAGAGTTTGCTTACATTTTATTCAAAAACATTTTGTTTACTGTAAATGCTAGCCATGGACAAACAATGATGCCATTTTTTATGCTGATCACACAAAATGATATACTGAGTTCTACATAATGCTGCCCATTGACTAAGGAATTTTCTGTATTAAGTTGTTTTAAGCAGAGGTTGTTTATGTAAAGTAAATAAATTTCATGCCTCACCATGTGATGATAATGTGACATTCCATCTGTATCAAGCCACAGAATAGTCATAGGTTTCAAGTCTTGAGCATAACTAATTAAAAATAATTATGAAAAAACCACATCCAAAACTAAAAGGGTGAAGTAAAAATATCTCCAAATACTTTCTTTTATCACACTTTTTCTTTGCTCCTCTTTTTCCCATATTTTTAAAGAGAGCACAATGAAGCTCAGTCCTTGTTGAAGTAGAATTAAAATGGATAAAGTTTACTAAGTTTACCAACTTTGTTACAACTGGTAACTATGCTTCTGCCCTACTTTCAGACAATGAATTCAGATTCAGGGCGAAAAAATCTCGTCTAACGAGCTTGACAGTTGGCATGGGCTAGTTTCTGTAGCACAAATGGGCCTATACATTTGCTTCACTGTGGCAGCTAGAAAGCATTCCACAAGAGAGGCACCAACTGCCTGCCAGCACTGGCCCAAGATGCTCTCCATTGGTTTTCACTGGCCAAGAGGCTCAGGGGTCCATTGTGAAGATAGCAGCGCAGACTTCCCCTCATGCTTTTCAAAACCTCAGCTTGCACAAATGATCAAATTCCACCAAAAAATATGGTGCAACTTGTTCCTTTTCTCTCTGTCTTAGTCTCCTCTGAGCCAGCAAGACTGTCTTGAATTTCATTTTTTTTCACTGTAGGAGGAGAATTCCCCACAGCAGGAAGTATAGGGATCTGCAGCTGAGCAGAGGCAATCCACGTTGATTTGATGGCTTGCTACCTGGAACAGTTTCTGTTGGTTGGAACTTATGGTGGAGAAAACGTTCATCTTCCTTTGCAGTTACAACATAGGACAGTAGAAATTCCCTCATTTTTATTTTTTTCAATTACACTTATCTACATTTTAAATTAATTGATGGGCTTTAGAGCAAGTCTCTTACCCTCACATTTATCTGTCATCAGAAAATAATGGGTACTTGACTGGGTGTGGGGGTGTGTGTGTGTGTGGGGGGGGAAAGCAGGAAGAACACATGTAGAGGCCAGTGAGTCAATGGTAGTGGACTGACTACTAATCGCTACAGTGTTTCATTGGATTATTTCTCCACCAGGGAATTTCAGAAGTCCATGAAACTCAAAGAACCTGGGTTCTTATCCGGTTTTACCCTTCATGTTATTAGAAATTACTACTCCGCTAGTGAGACTCCAATCATACCTGTCTGTTATATGTCTCCCTAAATTCCATCAGGTAAAACACAGAGGGAAGTTTGTTTACATCTGAAAGAAACTTTGTAATGACAACATACTTGAGTTATGAAATGAACAGAGGCGCTAGAAGCTCTGACTTAGTATGAGATGCACTTCAAATATTTTATTGGATATGGATCAACTATTGTCCAGATTCATGATTGTTGTTTACTTTTGTACCTTTGCTACAAGAAAGATGGATTTTTTTTTTTAAGTTTAGAATTTGCAGAATGTGGTTGAGGTTTTGGGGGTTCAAAGGCCTGTTGCTAGGATCTTAGTTTTGCTTGTTGTATACATTAGAAGATATTCATTATTATTTATTAAACACAGCAAAAGAAAGGAGGAGGAAAAAGCAAAAAAATTGTAGCTTTAAAAAACCAAGACAGTCTTCATATTAAATTCCTTTATAGTCTCTTTTCTCTCTCTCTATATAGACAGATTTTAAAACAAAAAATTCTTTCTTGGATGTTTTTTTTAAAATGGCATTAAATGTTTTTGTTGGAGGAAAAAGAGTATTAATTATATAGTGTAGCTCTCAGGTTTTGCAGTTTAAGTCTGATCCTGTTTCTTCCTAAACTAAACCAACTGCACAAGAGAATAGAATAACAAAAAACAGGAAAATGCATCTCTGTCTCTGTTGCTTGCAGGTTGGCTGATGGAAGACCACAGATACATGACCCAGTTAGCTCCTCTTGGACACCAGCTCTACTTTCCTGGGCCTGGTAAATGATTGGCTAGGATCATCTTATTTCCCTTTGGCCAGTATAGGGGAGAGACAATTTTTTATTGTGATCAGGCCACTCAGGAATCATTTTTAGCTTGCCAAACTGGATGTGCTCAAGAGTGGCAAGGTTATATTTACCTTGGCTGGCTAAGCAAGACTCTTTTTAGAGAACAAGCAAATAGAGAAAGAGGACAGAACTAATAATAACACTTAGCTCTTATATAGGGCTTTCCACCAAAGTGCTAAAATAGGAGGTCAGTATCATTATCCCCATTTTACAGATATGAAAATAAGGCACAGAGAGGGGAAGTGACTTGCCTAAGGTCACCCAGCCAATCAATGGCAGAGCTGGAGACAGAAACCAGATCTCCAAGTCCCAATCCAGTGTTCTATTCACTAGGCCACACTGACTCCTAACCAAGACAGGAGTGGAAACTGACATGAAGGAGGGGGTTTGCATCTTGGGAGTTGCTCAGGGTACAGCCTTGGAAATAGATACTGTTGTTTTGGTTCCCTTTCCTCACTTGATCCAGTCACAACATCTTTCAGGATCAGCAAAAAGGCCCAGTGACGAGATGGTAAATCTCTGGTTCCCAGAGTGGAGTGCAGGTTACTTTGATGGTGATGCTGCTGCTGCTCCAAAGCTTCCTCCTACATTAAGTGCCACGTGCTTTCCAGAAAAGAAGTTCCCTTAAACGTTGTCAATCTCATCTCAAAGTTGTACAGTCAGAACAAATTTGCAATAGTCATATATTGACACTTCTTCACGTCTTAAAGATTACACTGGTCTGTTGCTGTAACAATTCACCAGAAAGCTTGGAAGCCCCCAATCAACAATACATTAATACTAACTCAGTTCACACCATTTCTTTGTTTTGTACTCTCCATTTGTTGTAGTTAGAAACTTCTTAGCACGTCTCTTTCTCTACCCTACAAAGGTATTCATTCTAGTGTCCTAGGACACACCCATTCTTTTTCCACTGTAGTTTCAATTGAGTTTTTAATCAATTCTATCAGGATTTGTATCTGTCAGAAAAAGTTATGAAATGATGTAACATTTAGTATTTCAATGTCCTCAAGAGTATACTGGTCACCTCACAATTTAGATAAGGTGAGATGGTCTCTGACACAAAAAGATGCAAAGAAAGTTGTGTGCGAGGGAAGACGGAGGATCAACAGGAGAAACTGGTAGATGGTATGTTTATAAATAAAAAGGCTAAAGGGCCTGATTGACTTCAATGGCCTTTGGATCAGGCCCCAGTGCACTACTAACACGTAACTGCCCTCCTTATGCATTGTTTCTGCAATAAGAACTTCTGTATACAACTACTCAGGCTAAAAAGAAACATGAAGTTTCAAAGAACATAAAAGAAAAATTAATTTAGCCTATATATCGGAAGGAGACACAAATCTGACATGGTTCTTTGCTAAAGATTATTTGAAGACTTTCAAAAGGAAGTCACTGAAAGGAACCCGACGATGGATATTAACCATCAAAGCAGATGCTAGATAACAAATTTAAAAATAAATATTACCTCGGGCAGGATGTTTTGCATTACTCCTCTTCAGCAGCTTTCGTTTTTCTGCTTGAGCCACTAATGAATAAAACACATTTAAAGGTCAAGAAAACTTTACTCTAAAGATTTTAATGAAAGCAGTTAAAGACAAGATACCTCGTCTTTACCCTCCCCTCCCCCCCCAAGCAGATGGATTTTTTAAAAGGATAATAAAAACAGCACACATTGTTGGCTAAAAACCATAATAAAAAATAATCTGCAAAACGCAAGCACAACGTCTCAAATTAGTGCTTATGTCCCACCCATTTTTTTTCTTCCAATCTTTCCCTTTGATGATAACATGGCACTTTGTCTCAAGTTCAGAGATGAGAGGAATGGTTCTTCTCCCTGTTACGGTCAGCAGAAATGAGTGCATGCCCACAAACAAAGGGTGCTATAGGTTCATGTAGGTTTGACATCTTGTTTCCTGGACCTGGCAATCTCACGCCCTATCCTGAATGTACTTGCTCTGGTTAATAATGTAAGCATAAAGACAGTACCAAACACTAGCATTCTGTTTACGAAAACTTCTATTTGTATTACAATAGCACTTAGTATTAGTGATTGTATTCATGCAAAATTTAAAATTAGTGTATTTGGAATAAAATCTAATAAGTGTTAGCTGTCAAATTATAGTAAAGAGATAAAAATTGTTGAAGCTTACTTAGCACTTTGGTCTTCTGCACTTCAGCTTTCAAGTTACAGGATGAGTCTGAGATGCCAAAAATATTTTCAAGCTCTCTACTGCCCTCTAAAGCCTGAAAGTAGAATTAAAAGCAATATTAATTTTATTCCTAAACTAACAAATTGCTATATAGACTAACAGAGACAAGGTAGGTGAGGTAATATCTTCTACTGGATCAACTTCTGTTGGTGAGAGAGACAAGCTTTTGAGCTTACACAGAGCTCTCCTTCAGGTATTACCTCGCCCACCTTGTCTCTCTAAAGTCCTGGGACCAACACAGTTACAACACTGCATAAACAGTCTAAGAAAGATTTTCAATGCAATTTATAATTAACAACCTACTCTAGCAAAGGGTAAAAATTTCACAAGCACCTAAGTAACTTAAGTAAATGAAAGACAGTGGGACTTAGGCTCCTAAGTAAGTAGGTCACTTTTGAAAATGGAACTTGTGTGTTTTTGAAAACATTATTTGAAAACTCCGGTTATGTTTGCTTCATTTATATATCTTCAGCTTTTTAAATAAAGAGATTCACACCTGATCCCCAGAAAAACAATTCTGGTACATGTATACATTTGCCTTAATATGTTAGTAAATAAAAAAAAAAATCTATCAGCTTTTAAGAATCTCTTGCATATGGTTTTCAACTTTAATAATAAACCTAAAAATCCCCACTGTATCAATTTCATTAGCAAGGCCAAGATTTTGTTTTTAAATGTATTTGTAAAAGCCAAATTGAAAATCTTTAATTAAAGAATTTCAAAAATAGTGCCAGGGTGTCAATCTAAATAAGTCTTTTTGAAACAACAGTGTGTGTGTAACATGTGTAAGTAAAATAAAACCATTTGAATAGTCTGAATTATTTCTGAGGACACTGAAGTACACAAGAGAACTTTGTCATGAATTTATTCCGTACGAGACTATGAATAAACAACATTGTGTGTGATAAATAGACGCCATCAAAAGTTGACATATTAACAATGAATTGAACAGTATGATGACTTCAACACAAATAGATGTTTAATTTTCAAGTCCTTACATACAAGAGTAGGACTGCCAGAAGCTAGGACTGGATGACAAGGGCTGAATCACTTGTTAATTGCCCAGTTATGTTCATTCTCCCTGAACCACTGGCCATGGTCAGAAGACAAGCAAGATGGACCATTATTATGTTCTAATGAAATCTAGGCAGCAATAATTTATAACTCTGTCAATGCTACTTAGTAATGACCTTACAACCTAGACACAGGGAGACAAGTTAAAAACAGACCTTTTGGCTCATTGGTATAGAGGTATAAATTTTGCTTTAGCTGCAGGATTTGTCCCAGATTCAAATCCTGGACAAGCAAAGATGTTCCTGTGTCATACAGGAGGTCAGACCAGATGATCACAATAGTCTCTTCTGGCCTTGGAATCTATGAATAAAAAACTCATTGTGCCAGTGTACTTTGAAAAGTGACTTGGGAAAAAAAATTAAATGGTATTGTCAGCTTCTATATTTGTGTCTCAATGATTTTCAGGTCAAAAGCTTTCTTTTCTTGCCTTTAAATCTCAAAGAATACTGTATATAAGATTTCATTTTCTTCTAGTTTCTTTTTAAAGTACATTAAGAAAATTAATGCCAGTAAAGACACACCTGCAAACTTGTTAAGCTTTGTCTCATTTTCAGAAATCTCACCAATGAATTTTCAACTTCAGACTGCAACACCATAAACCTACATAAAAGAGAAATGATTTAAATCAATGATGTCAGCATCTATTGGGAATAATCATTTAAAAAGTCTTTCTTAGAGGTCCCCCCAACAACAGTAATGTCTCAGCACTAGGTAAACAATAGTTAGTTTATCCTGATAACACTACTGTGAAGTAGGAAAGTATCATCTTTGTTTTAAAAATAGGGAACTCGGGTCCAGAGAAATTAAGGCTATGTCTACACTACAGCTGAACAAGCCTCCAAGCCCAGGTAGACAGACACATGCTAGCGGGCCTTGTGCTAGTGAGCTAAAAATAGCAATGTGGATGTTGCAGCTCAGGCTCTCAAGCCTAGGGGGTCAGGTGAGCTTGAGAGCCTGAGCTGCAATCTCCGCACTCCTTTTTTTCAAAAACAAAATTTTAAACCTGTTCGCTCGAGCCTCTCTAGTGCGAGTCTGTCTACCGGGGTCGGGAGGCTTGCTGCCACTTCCAGTGTAGACATACCCAATCCGACTTGCCCATGATCACATAAGGCGGCTGTGGCACAGCCAGGAATTGAACCCACGCGGTCTCAGTTCAGTGACTTAACCACTAAACCATCTTTCAGTCCACAGACATGTTCTAATACTGATGTAAAGATTAGTCAGATTTTAGAGGTTGATGAGCTTAGTAAGAAAAGCAAAGTACGACACAATTGGATCAGGTTCTAAATGACAGATTATTCAGTGTATGATTGAGGATGTGCACTAAATACTTATGGGGGAAAACCGTCAAATGTTCTTATAACAAAGACTTAGAACTGGTTCTTTTTGTAGCATGTCAGCATAGAAATCAAATATGGACAAATGGGAAAACATCCATTCACTTTTCTTTTCCCCAACAAAAGGAAGGATCTCATTGTCATACTGAGCCTTATGGAAAATGGAAGTTATCATCACATTTTTACACAGCAACAGATGGTTACCCAGAAGAGGAAATGCCAATGTCAGTGTATCGTACAATATATTTTCCCCCTCAGAACATAAAGCGTATGGAAGTTCACATAAAATATTACTATGTAGGTGTTTGTTTGTACATGTGCTTTATTGACATGTCACTAACTGCTGTTCTCAACTTTTGCAGTTATTTTTAAACATATTGAATACAAACATTGACATGTCGAAAGTGACCATGCTTACTTGAATGGGTTTGCACTTGCAAGGTTACCACCACTTGGAAAAAATGGTATATACATTGACCAGGGATCTTATCATGGGAAGAATATATTTGCTTGGATTAAGAGTTTTCCACACTAAAAACAAGACATTTGTAAATATTTGCCTAAAGAGATTATGATTATTCAAAGATTTTTTTAAAAAAATTTAAGGTCCACAGGGAGCCATTTTGATCACCAAGCCTGGCCATACAACCTCACTCAAAAGTTTCTGCATCAAGCTCATCATTTCTTTTTGAGCTACAACATACCTTTTAGACCATACCTTGACTTAAAATCTTCCAGTGATGGAGAGTCAACCAGGTCCCTAGGTTAATTATTCCAATTGTTTGTTACTCTCTTGGGATTTTAGTTTAATCATGAAGGGAAAAAAAACCTGTGTCATATGAAGGCACTGTAGTGAATTCTTCCATAGTTGAAAGCGTTTTAGTTGACTAACTTTGACATTCATTTGTGACTTCCAAACAAATTCAATGTACCTTTAGTAAAACATGTATGGAGTATAACTGTAGGTCCAAGGATATTAGAGAGATAAGATGGGTGACGCAATATCTTTTATTATACTAACTTCTGTTGGTGAGAACAATAAAAGATCCAATAAAGGATATTACCTCACCTACCTTGTCTCTCTAGTAAAATGTTTTCCAAAAAATAATAAAACCTACAAGTAAACCCACAGCTTTTAGTGTAAAAAAATTAACTATTCATGAAAGAGGATTTAAATACCATGCTCAAAATGAATAAAGATCAAGGTAAATTTTAAAATTGGTGTCCCTTTATCATAAGTCAAATCAGGTTAAGTTCCAGTTCTGTATGGGAATCTACTAGCATTCCTTCCTTATGCACTCCTTATGTCCATCCCTGTTTAGCAAAGCATCTGAGCAGCCACCTAACTTGATGTACCTGCTTAAGTGCTTTTCTGAATTGAGGCCTATAAATGTCCATCACTGTCCGAAGGCTTAGGTACTAAAGTATGTCCATTACTGTCCGAAGGCTTAGGTACTAAAGTATGTCCATCACTGTCAGAAGGCTTATGTACTAAAGTCAGTTTGCAGCAAGAAAAACAAGATTCTTATGGGAACGTTTTAACAAAACAAATATACATTTGAAGTCAGAATCATGACCCACTGTGATGAGAGGTATCAAAATCAACCACTACAATTTGGCAATGCATCTTTGCCACAAGCAATGCTTCCAGCAAAATCTAAAGAGCTTGCACATGTGAAACAGTTTGGAAAAACAAAACACATTCCTTTGTGTACCTTAATTACAATACTGCCATTATGGGTGGGATGTCTAATAATGGGTACGGAAGTTAGGTTACCAAATCCCACGGAAAAATCAGAGTTGGGTGTCCAACTCCCTTATCTGCTTTGGAAAATCCCACCCTGTATAATCTCAAGTATAAAAGAACAATCATTCTAAGTTTTATTTCTCTAAGGAAATAGTCACTTCCCTCATCACTGAAAATGATGACATTTTATCACCACAGACTGGTACACTTACTTATCATACTCTTCTGTTTGAGACTGCCCTCTTCTGGATAAACTGATTTCTGAGTAATTCAGCTCATCTCTGTCTCCTAAGTAGTCCATATTAAAGAAAGAAACAAAAATACAGATAAAAATGAAACAGGTGTATTGTATATAGTTTGAAGCAGTAGGGAAAACAAGAGGTGTTAGCATGCATCCTCACTACAGAGGAATCTCTTAAAAACAGCTTGCTTATGAAACAAGGATGACTGTCCCATGAACAAACACACAAACTTTTTTTTTTTTAATTTAAGCCTCAGTGGCTTCTGTAGCTTTTAGATGTAAACAATTTGGAACTACAGTATCAGTGACTGGAATTTGGTATGATTCTGTCAGAAATTAGAAGATCAAAAACTGTTGAACATCTTGTTTAAGAATATTTTTCAAAATGCGGCATGTCAGAGAAAAATCTTTACCCATAAAGCACTGCTATGACTGAGAAGTAAAATCTCCACCTCCTTTAACAAGCAGAAAGCATAGGCCTGTACCCTGAAGCCCATCTTGTATGCAACTAAAAGGAGACAGTGCAACTTCTTTTCAAATGCTCTGACATAGTACATTGATATTACAGTATTCTAGCCAAGTGCCTGTCATATGACAGGGTGTGAACAAGTCATATTTCTGTATTTCCATGTACAGATTGTTAGAATATTTGCATGTTTCTGTCAGAAAATGGGATGAGGGAGGGAATCACCACAAAACTCCACTGCTATGGCTTTGCTAATTAAACTTGAATTCAAATGTGGTGCAAAGAAAAGAAACTGCCTTTTGGGTAAGAATCTGTATGGCCTACAGTGATGCCAGCTGAGCAATTATAGATCACGAGCTTTAGATTAGTGTATATTCAGATCAATTTAACTGAAAAAAAGTTTTTCAACTGAATAATCAAATGGACAAGAATTTAGAAAGCTATTGTAGTGCTAAACTAAATCTACTGCTTCTTGATTCGTATCTGCTGGAGCTATTCTGATAGCCATGTATAAACGTCAAGAAACATACAGTATACTTATAGTAAGGGACAAAAAGCCAACCTTAATCAAATATTATATGTAAAGTTCCTTTCAGTGTATATTCACAATATCTCTACCAATACCACTTTAGGAAAAAAGTTACATTTGAACAAAATTAGTTATACACCTTACACCATATATCAATTTCTATATTGGCTTTCTAAGGAAATTTTTTCACTTCAAGGTCCCAGAAGCAAAGACAAGGTTTTCATCTCGAGGCCAAAAGACCAAAAACATCAAGACACTTGATCACGGCCTTGGATAGACCAAGAGACTACCTACACTTGACCAGAGCTCAGAGAGCCAAGATACTACACTAGCCTGAGCCCCAGGAATCACTGTATGAAGGTATTTCCCGTGAGATTTTATTACAGGGATGGCAAAATATACAGTCCATCTTTACTGTTTAAATTTCACTTCCATGCACTTCAGGTGCACAGCAAGTGAGGAGCTGTATGATTATTCTCTCCCCCTCACCAATGATTTATTCTGAAGATTTTATAGAAACCCACCATGATGCTTTCATAACAAAGAAATAATTGCATGAGGATCAAAAGTTCTCAAAGCCAGAAAGCTCTCAAACAACCAGACCCAATACAGTGTTGTCTTTGAGTCAGAGTCCCTACAAAAATGAAATTCTATCCAGATAAAATAATGTCTTCGCTTCTGATTGTCCTCTGACAGATGATGGGGGGGATGGTGCTCCAATAGAAAAACTGTACTAAATGGCAACAGAGATCTCTCTTCCCCGCCATTCACGTTGTTATGTCAGCTGACCTGACTGCTCAGACAGTGAATACATTATTTAAAATATAAATATGGCTTAAAGCACATTTACAAAAGGATAAAAAGTGAGACCTAGTTTTTTATCATATCTTCAACCATATTAGTGACTATCATCACTATGAACCACAAAATTAACTTTTAGTTCAGAGATTTAGTTTTGTTATTTACATAGTGCCTTAGAAGTACATAGCATTTTACATATGTGCAAGAAAAAAGGCCCTGCCCAAAGATCTTATCATGTAAACCAGATTGATACAACACAGATTATAAAAGGATTAGTGTGAGAGTGGCAGCAGACAGCCCTGGAAAGGATACTAGTGATAGAAGACTAAGTGGAAGGATCAAGTTTTAAGGAAGGATCTGACAGAGAAGAAGAAAAAGCCATAAAAATTAGGACTGTCAAGCGATTAAAAAAATTAATTGCGATTAATCGCACTGTAAAACAATAATAGAATACCATTTATTTAAATATTTTTGGATTTTTCAAATATATTGATTTCAATTACAACACAGAATACGAAGTGTACAGTGCTCCCTTTATATTTATTTTTGATTACAAGTATTTGCACTGTACAAAAAAACAAAAAATAGGATTTTTCAATTCACCTAATACAAGTACTGTAGTGCAATCTCTTTATCATGAAAGTTGATCTTATAAATGTAGAATTATGCACACAAAAAGAACTGCATTCAAAAATACTTTTTGTTCAGCCAATCACTCAGACAAACAAGTTTTTTTACATTTGCAGGAGATAATGCTGCCATCTTCTTGTCTACAATGTCACCTGAAAGTGAGAACAGGCATTCTCATGGCACTGTTGTAGCCAGTGTCGTAAGATATTTACGTGCCAGATGTGCTAAAGGTTCATATATCCGTTCATGCTTCATCCACCATTCCAGGGGACATGCATACATGCTGATGACGGGTTCTGCTGAATAACAATCCAAAGCAGTGCGGACCAATGCATGTTAATTTTCATTATCTGAGTCAGATGCCACCAGCTCAAGGTTGATTTTCTTTTTTGGTGGTTCAGGTTCTGTAGTTTCCACATCGGAGTGTTGCTCTTTTAAGACTTCTGAAAGCATGCTCCACACCTCGTCCCTCCAGATTTTGGAAGGCATTTCAGATTCTTAAACCTTGGGTTGAGTGCTGTAGCTATCTTTAGAAATCTCACATTGGTACCTTCTTTGTGTTTTGTCAAATCTGCAGTGAAAGTGTTCTCATAATGAACAATATTTGCTGGATCATCCTCCGAGACTGCTATAACATAAAATATATGGCAGAATGTGGGTAAAACACAGAGCAGGGGACATACAATTCTCCCCCAGGGAGTTCAGTCACAAATTTAATTAACACGTTATTTTTTTAATGAGCGTCATCAGCATGGAAGCATGTCCTCTGGAATGGTGGCCGAAGCATGATGGGACATACAAATGTTTAGCATATCTGGCACGTAAATACCTTGCAATGTCGGCTACAAAAGTGCCATCCAAATGCCTGATCTCACTTTCTGGTGACATTGTAAATAAGAAGAGGGCAGCATTATCTCCTGTAAATGTAAGAAACTTGTTTATCTTAGCAATTGGCTGAACAAGAAGTAGGACTGAGTGGACTTGTAGGCTCTGAAGTTTTACACTGTTTTGTTTTTGAGTGCAGTTACGTAACGAAAAAAATCTACATTTGTAAGTTGCACTTTCATGACAAAGAGATTGCACTACAGTACTTGTATGAGCTGAATTGACAAACATTATTTACAGTTCAAATATTTATAATAAAAAATAATATACACTTTGATTTCAATTACCATGCAGAATACAATATATATGAAAATATAGAAAAACATCCAAAATATTTAATAAATTTCAAATGGTATTTTATTGTTTATCAGTGCGATTAAAACTGCGATTAATCGTGATTAATTTTTTTAATCATGTTTAATTTTTTTGAGTTAATCGCGTGAGTTAACTGCAATTAGTCAATAACCCTAATAAAAATATAAGAAAATTTAAGATAGATTTAAGTTCCGGAAAAATCCATATGACTTCAATAGGTTTTGCTTCATGTACAAATTCAGAGCTTCTATTTACAGACTCAAATCCTCTCTTCTCTTTTTCTATTTGACTGCTTTTTTTTTTTCTGGGGGGTAGGGGAGGGAAAGGGAGGATAATAAGTCTATAGTGACTTGTGGCCCAAGAGCAAAGAGTTTTTTCTTGTTGAATATAACAAGTCCATTCAGGGGACTACAGATTATACCAGAGATATTATAAATATATATATATATAAACCCCTCAGAGTAAAAGCCTTCTGGCAGTGAGCCAACTCTCATGAGTTGTAACTCATGATAGTGGTACTCTGCTCCATACAGCCTACACAGGCAGCTTCTAAGTTACACATCACAATGGCTTAAATTTCAGCTACAATCAGAGACCAACTCTCCCTCTGTGTCCCATTACTATACTTGCAGACTAGTGGAATACTTCAGTGGTCTGTCCCAAAGGCTGAACTTGAAGGCATTGTACAGAGTAGTGCCTTCTCAACTGTGACCCTTGGCTCTGGAATTTGCTCCCAACAAATATCCATCAAAGCCAATCCTTGTCACTTTTGGGTGCAATGTAAGATTTCTCCTTGTTTAGGCTCTCTCCTAATTATTGGACTTTCTTTTCCAAATCAGTTGGAATTAAGCAAAATAAGCAGTCATGATTAAATTATCCCTTGGATCTGCCATTAAGAACATAAGAACGGCCATACTGGGTCAGACCAAAGGTCCATCAAGCCCAGTATCCTGTCCTCTGACAGTGGCCAATGGCAGGTGCCCCAAAGGGAATGAACAGACAGGTTATCATGAAGTGATCCATGCCTGTCACCCAATCCCAGCTTCTGGCAAACAGAAGTTAGGGACACCATTCCTGCCCATCCTGGCTAATAGCCATCGATGGCCCTATCTTCCATGAATCTATCTAGCTTCCGTTTGAACCCCATTATAGTATTGGCCTTCACAACACCCTCTGGCAAGGAGTTCCAGAGGTTGACAGTGCGTTGCGTGAAAAAATACTTTCTTGTGTTTGTTTTAAATCTGCTACCTATTAATTTCATTTGGTGGCCCCTTGTTCGTGTATTATGAGAAGGAGTAAATAACACTTTCTTATTTACTTTCTCTATACCACTCATGATTTTATAGACGTCTATCATATCCCCCCTTAGTCGCCTCTTTTCCAAGCTGAAAAGTCCCAGTTTTATTAATCTCTCCTCATAC